TCCTCTATGAATCAATCTAATTTCCTCTTAAAGCTGTTTATTCCTGTGGCCGTCACTACATCCTTGTGAGGACCACGCCCCCTCCTCCAGCCGAGACCCCCTTGGTTAGTGGGGTCCCCATCTTATTTTGGACTTTGTGGTTTTAATAGGCACCTCCTTTTACAGACTAAGTGCTAAGTGGATCTGAAACTTGAGGAATCTCATAAAGGCACCTAGGCTCAGCCATGACATTGGAAATTCCCAGGGACAGGAGAGGAAGGGTGTGCTGGCATCACAAACTGATTAAGTGCAATCTCCCCCAGCTCAGGGTTCTCCATAACAATAAGACTTCACTTCATTCTCAATAACAACAGACTTTTCAACACTGGAATATCCTGGCATACCCCAGAGGTGTCTGCCCAGTCTAAGGAAGTTGCTGTTACATTAACCAACACCTCCTTCATCAATCAAGAAGGACACTCAAGTCATTAATTTGCATTCTATCCTGTTTCAGGAGCTATCTTGAATCACCCAAGCTATTGTATCAACGCAGAACTGGCTCACTTCAACCTAATTAAAGTATAATTCAGGTGGGTAGCCATGTCGATCTGAAGCAGCAGTCCAGTGGCACTTTTAAGACCAACAAAGTTTTATTCAAGGTATAAGCTTTCATGTGCAAAGCACACTTCTCTAGACAAATGGAATAAAATGTCCTCAAGAGTTACTTACAGGAAAAAAGAAAGTGGGGGGGCAGCCATTAAGAGGCTAACGGCTGCCTCCCCCTTTTTCCTGTAAGTAACCCTTGAGGAGATTTTATTCCATTTGTCTGAAGAAGTATGCTTTGCACACCTTGAATAAAACTTTGTTGGTCTTAAAGGTGCCACTGGACTCATACTTTGTTCTAATTAAAGTATGTTAATCGCGTTGTATGGAGCTGCGGTGGCTCAAGTGGTTAAGATGCTGAACTGCAGGGACTTCCGGTTATGGCTGCGCGCCTGACGACCGACTCTCGGGTGAGCTCCCGGAGTCGGATCGCCCACACGCCGTCTGGAGGGGTCCCGCACATGCGGAGATCCTAAGGAGCCTTTGTTACAAGGGCTCCGAACCAGGGGGCGCATTTGAGAGACTGGGGGATGCCTCTTGCCGGCACGAAAGCCAGGTATTGAGGCTCCCCCCACCATAGTCTCTCCCTGCCCCAAACGGCTCCAGCTGCGTTGTGCCCTGTAATGGGGAACAGCAAAGCCGCCGGGAAAGCAGCGTGGTGGAGCGGATGAATCGAGTCAGAGAAAAGAAGCAAGCGACAAACTGTAAGCCGGCGTTCGAGATTTAAGCGGTGGTCTTTAAAAGAAAGCCTCACCCCCCCCCAAGAAGCGAAAGGGAGGAGGGATCTACCACCTCCGTATTAAAAAGAGACTTTTAAAATAAAGAGGGAGGGGAAGCGAAAAAATGCACGAACGGTTTACCTTGCTGGGAGGGAGAAATAAGCGGAGAGGAGGGAAGCTTCCTTGAAGGCTACAGCACAAACTTTCTAAGTGTAAACAAAACTGAAGCATGGCGGGGACTAAAAAAGTACAAGAAAAGCTAGTGAAGAAGACGGGAGGGACTTCCTGCCCAAGCCCTTCCCTTGCTGGATCTGCTGTCAATCAGCAAGAAGGTGCTCTTGCGCGCCATCTGCTGGAAGAACTGCAAAAGATTAACCAGAAACTTGATTCTATGGAATGTGCCTATACTTTACAACAGAAAAAAATGACAGAGACAGCTGAAAAGGTAGATGACATCGCAAAGAAATGTCTGGCATCAGCCGAAGAAGTACAAAAAGTTAAGAAGAAGGTCATTAAAGTTGAAAAATATCAGGAAAA